GACTCCGCCGCTTACGCGCTGGCGGCCCAGTCCTTCGTGGCGCCCTTGAGCGGTGGGGGTCCTCAGCGGGCGCCCGCTGGATTGCCTGGGCCGTCCTGGAGCTTGTGGGGCTCAGAAAGCAGGGGCCTTCGGTCGCCACCTGGGTGGGTAGGTGGAGGTGAAGGTGCACGAGCCACACACGCACGCACCGCTTGGGTCACGGCGCCCGCGTGGGGTGGGGTCGGGTGGTTGAGGGGGGAGAGGGCATTTCCACGTATCCTCCCGTCGAGCTGCGGATGCGGTCGCGGATGCGCCGACGACAGCCGTTCCGGACGCTGCCGCGCTGGCGAGCCCGAGACGACCGCCGACGGCCGGGCTGACGCAGCTCTGAGTGCCTGCGTCTGGGCAGCCAGAGTGAGCCCTCCTCCCCCCCCTCCTCCTTCTCCTTCTCCTTCTTCTCCTCCTCCTCATCCTCCACCCCGCTGTTCCTTCTGTTCGCGCTGGACTTCGGAACCATCTTCGTGAATTGTAGCATGTAAATGGTTTTGGCCTCTTCGGGTTCTCCGGGAGTTTCTCGGGGAGGGAGCGGAGAGCCGTCGTGGGCCGCATCGGGGGATTTTGGGCCGTCTTGAGGCCATCTCAGGCCGTCGTGGGGCTGTCTTGTACCGTCTTGGAGGCATCTTCGGCATTTTTGCGGCCTCATTGCATGAGCCGTGTACAAGCCATCTTGTGCATCTTGGATGGTTCGGAGAGCCCCAGACAGGTGTCTGGCCGCCCAGCGACCACTTTGAAGTAGGGGCGGTGCACGCGACTGGGTGCTAGGAGAGGGCGGGGGGGGCCTCAGCACATTGTATACAGAAACCCCAGCAGACAGACCTTGTTATTCTACCATGCCTTAACGTGCCAAGGGGTACGGTGGTGGACCTATAAGGAATATGTATGGCGGCGGAGGAGGCGGTAGGGAGGACGAGGATGAGGATGAGGATGAAGATGAGCAGGAGCAGGAGGAGGAGGAGGGGGAGGAGGAGAACAAGGAGGATGAGTCGGACAAGTGTAAACCCAAGAGTCATCAACGATGTTGGAATAAGCCCTCCCTCCAAGCTCCCTCTTCATAGGCCCCTACAACGGTTCATTTCCATTGAATGAACTGCCTCTTTGGAAGACAACCGTTTGAAGACCCTGAAGCATGCCAACACATTGTTCGCGGGATTCCAACGCCACGGATCAACCTGCTTGCTGCGTCTTGACAATCCTGAATCGTGCCAGAACACCATTCTTGGGACTTCAACAGCGAACCAACATAACTGTTGCATCCGCATAATCCTGAATCCTTTCAAAACACCATTTCTGACACGTTGATGATGGGAACCCGTAAAATCTCACAATTTTGTAAAACGAATGTGCGCCGCGCTACGGCGAGAGCCACATGTTGAAAAGGAGCCACCCTCAATCCGTGAAACTTTTTGTAATTTTATACAACGAATGTGCGCCGCGCTAAGGCGAGAGCCACATTTTGAAAAGGATCCACCATCAATCCGTGGAACTCTTCCAAATTTTTGAAAAGAATGTGCGCCGCGCTAGGGCGAGAGCTAGATTTTGAAAAGGAGCCACCCTCAATCCGTGGAGCTCTTGTAAGTGTTTGAAACGCATGTGCGCGCCGCTAAGGCGAGGGCCACATTTTGAGAACGACCCGCCCTTCATCTGTGAAACTGTTACCACTTTTCAAGCTTCAGAGTCATAAATGGTGAGGAAGTCTCAGGCGAAACGCCTGGCCCGCCCGAAAAACTTGCCTTGCGATGCGACAGGGAGAAATTATTTATAAGGACAAGGAATAGAGGAGGGGGAGGGGGAGGGGGAGGAGGAGGAGGTCCGTAGCCAGTTTTGGCGTAAGTAGCCATCAGTCAAGGCAGCTGGCTGTTCAGCATACTTGCACGGTTGCGTAAGCACGCCGCTATGCCTCGCCCAATTGTGCGGCGCCTGTTGATTTCTCCTTCATCGCTGCTTGACAATGATATTGATTAAGATGATGCTGCCGTTCATGATGAGGATGATGAGGGTGATGACGAATAGGATGCTGCTGCTGATTATGATCATGATGATGCTGATGATTGTGATGATGATGGTGCATGTGCTGCTGTTGCTGATGATCGTGCTGACGATGTCCATGATGATGATCAGGATCATGATGATGATGGTGATGATGAGGATGATGCTGAAGCTGACGATGATGATGATGGTGATGCTGATGCTGATGATGACGATGCTGCTGATGATGACGATGATGACATGAGGACGATGATGTTGTTGCTGATTGCGATGCTGAGGACGCGAACGATGATTATGGTACCGATGATGCTGCTGCTGATGATGATGGTGATGCTAATGATGCTGACTCTGATGACGATGATGCTGGTTATTATGCTGATGATTGATGATGTATGATGCTGCTGATGATATTGATGTTCATGACGACGATGGTCATGCTGCTGATGCTGGTGATGCTGCTGCTGCTTCTGATGATGCTGGTGATGATGCTGATGATGCTGCTTCTGATGATGCTGCTGGTGATGATGACTACGATGTTTATGCTTCTGATGATGTTGCTGATGATCTTGATGGTAATGCTGATGGTGACGCTGTTGCTGATGCTGATGATTATGATGTTGATGATGCTGATGATGATGCTAATGACTATGGTGATGATACTGCTGCTGCTGATGATGATTCTGATTATGCTGATGATGCTGCTGCTGCTGATGATGATTATGATGCTGCTGATGCTACTGATGCTGCTGCTGATGATAACGATGATGAAGACGATGATGATGCTGATGATGATGCATCATGCTGCTGCTGACGATGATGACGATGATGGTGATGATGATTATGATAACGATGCTGATAATGATGGTGGTGGTGGTGGTGATGCTGATGATGGTGATGATGATGCTGATGATGATGCTGATGATGATGATGACGATGATGATGATGATGATGATGATGATGATGATGAGGAGGAGGAGGAGGATGATGATGATGCTGATGATGGTGATGGTGATGATGATGATGATGATGCTGATGATGATGATGATGATGATGATGATGATGATGATGATGATGATGCTGTTGATGATGATGATGATGCGGAGGAGGAGGAGGAAGGAGGAGGAGGAGGAGGAGGAGGAGGAGGAGGAGGATCCTCGCTTTGTTCGTTTTGGGGCTGTCTTGCTTCCTGATGGGCAGTCTTGGGGGTTCCTTGGGGCCCTCTTGGGCCTTCTTGGGGCCCTCTTACGCCGGCTTGGGGCTCTCTTGGGCCGTCTTGGGATTATTTTTGCCGTATGGTGGGTGTCTGGGGGCCTTTTTTTGGGTCTGTCTTGGCGCCGTTTTGGGCCGTCGAGGGGCCTCTAAGGCCGTCTTGGGTCCCACGGGAGGTCCTCTTGGGCCGTCCTGGGGCCGTCTTGGATGCTCTTGGGTCATCGTTGAATCCTCTTGGGCCGTCTTGAGCTGACGTCAGCTCGAAAATGCGAGAATGCAAAACCATTCAAAAACCAAGGGGGCATCTCTGATTTTGGCTTCTTCGGACCCTGTGAGGTCCTCATGTGGTCGTTTTGGGCCCTCTTGTGATTTTGGCTTCTTCGGACCCTGTGAGGTCCTCATGTGGTCGTTTTGGGCCCTCTTGGCGGCAGCTCGGGCCGTCTCGAATCAACATTCGGCCGCCTCGGGGCCATCTTGGGTCGTCTTCGGGGCGTCTTAGGTCATCTGAGTGTCCTTGGTTGCTTGCACGGGCCGTCTTAGAAGCTCGGGACGCACGTTCCTAGTTTTAAAGAATCGTTGCTTGGGAGGGGCTAGAGCACTTGGGAGCAGCGCATGGGAATGCGTGAAGTGCACGATCCTTAAGCGGGGGTGCGCGTGGGGTGAGGGGCCTAGGAGTTAGCAGCCATGCAGGACGTGCACCACAATCCTCGAGCGAGCGCGTATGAAATGACTGTCCAGGTTAGAAGAACGGGAATCAAGCTAAGAGGGGTTTCCGAAGATAAGGTCGAGAGATGGTTTCCGAGGTGGCCCCGAAACGCTGGTCCTTGGTGGATCGCACATCTGGTTTTCTGAGATATGGGCCCCAGTATGGTTCCTGGAACCTTGCTTTTTTTTCGGCGCCTGGCGAGCTCGAAATCGAGCTCGGCGGATTTGCAATTGTTGACGGCAGCGCGATTCTCGTTTTCAGCGGGGTGTATGCAGGACGTGCGATTTTGGCACAGTAAGGGTATTCAAGCGCAGAGCCAGCATCTCTTCCATTCCCGTGCCCCTCACTTCTCAATGCAGCAGAAATCCTTACATATCCTCTTGCCCTCCCTCATCCCTCCCCTCGTGCTCCACCCCTACGTCACACTCCCCCCTGTCCTCCCCACTCCTTAAAGCCTATCCCCCTCATCATCCTCCCCGTCCTCATCACGCTTTTCACTCATGTCCTCGCCCCTGCTCCTCCCCTCCCCCCCCAGTCTGAGGGCACGAGAGGCCTCCGAGACACATCCAAGAGGCCCCAACAGGTTCTCCAAGAGGCCCTCTTAAGTCCCCAAGACCCCAAGAAGCCCCAAGACCCCAGGGTTCCCAAGAGGGCCCCAAGATGGACTCCAGGGGCCTCCAGGGTTCCCAAGAGACCAATAGGGGTCCTCCAGGGTTCCCAAGAGGGCCCCAAGAGGCCCCCAAATGGCCTTCAAGACTGCCCAAGAGGCCCCCAACAGGTTGTCCAAGACGGTCCAAGAGGTTCTCCAAGACGGCCCAATCGGCTTCCAAGAGGTCTTCCAAAGGGTCATATTGGCTCTCCCCCCCTCCTCCACAGCTGTGCTTTCCGCCGCCGTTTCGATTCGAATGCGACTTGCGGCCTTGTCTCCATCACCTGGTTTTTCTGTGAATACCTGAAATGGTTTGTTATGAGTGTTTCGTCGGACGACTGGAACGATACTCATGGTGATGATCGCCCTGGTTGCGCGGCGGCTAGGGCGGCGTCCGATGACTGGAACGTTGGCGCGCCCGTCTCCGATGGCCAGGTCTCTGTGCAGAACGATGCAATCGTGG